ATATAAATACGATAATATACCAGAATTATGGGAAGGTCATAACATAGCTGATTATATCGACCCCGAAATATTTAAGGTAAACAAAATCTATTAAAATATTACGTATAAAATAAGGAAAAAATAAATAAATGCGTATTATTATTAAAATTTTAGAAATTGAGCGAATTAGAAGCGGAAGAGTCTCTTAGAGAAGAAGCGGGTATGTACGCCGTACCCAAAATCGAAGAGGATGAAACTATGAAAGAAATTAGAGAGTTAGCTCAAATGATTCGAGACAAAAAAGTAATAATGAAACAAGAAGCCAGAATAAACAAACAGAGTAACAAACCAGTTTTGCCGAGAACGACTCAAGCAAGAGGTAGAGACAGATCGGTGGGAGCCTTGAGAAAACAAATGGAAGGTTTGGGTGTCGACATGTCTAATACGGAAAACGTGAGTAGCGGTGCTGTTTACAATATTTTCAAATTTTATATTATAAATTCTTATCGATAAAATACTAATCGTTAAAAATTACAGGCACACTTTACTCGAACTCGATCTCGATCGAGATCATTGAAATCTCCGGCTGCTAAAAGAATGAGAATGGATTCGTTGGGCAGAACGAGATCGCTATCACGCCCCCCGCGAGACGAAATGGGAGTCAAAGATGTTGCCGTAAGTTAATTTCATAAGTCAAAAATTATTCGAGTTTTCGACCGACCGCCATCATTAATTGATTTTTGTTTTTTTTTTTTTTTTTCAGATGAAATCTAAATTGAACGTCATCGGTAAAAAAGCACTCAAAAAGAAAATTGCCAAGAAAGGTCTCAAGGGAGAAGCTGATAGATTTATCGGTACCAAAAAACCTAAACATTTGTTTTCAGGGAAGAGGGGTATGAAATCCGACAGAAGATAGTTTTTCTCTTTTTGTATTTTTTTAACCTTCGTTATAAAAACCTAATACGAAAAAAAATAAAAATATTTAATTTTATAATTAATGCCGTTGTTATTTTTATCCTTTTTACATACACGAACCTCTTATTTTTTATGTTCAAATGAAACCGAGTAATAACACGGTAATAATAATAATAATAAAAATGTTTAAGTCGACGCGTTGACAAAGAAATATTATTTTAAATAAATGAAACAATCAAATATTTAAAATTGAATATTAAATAATGATTTTCATTTAATTAAAGAGAAAAAATAAAATTTCACGTTATTAAAACTTTCGATTGATTGTTTACATATAAAAAAAAATTTTATACGTCATTAATTATAACGTTCGCGAATTCCTGCGCACCTGATTTGAATTTTTTTTCCCTCTCATTTTAAATATTATTAGGGTAATTTTTTGTGATTTGTTTTAAGGTATTTAAATTTTTTTTCCTTTGTAATATTTTTACCGACATTAATTAATTAAAAAAAACATTAATAACGGTTATTAAATGAAATGGAATTAATTTGACTACATATTGAATTACAAAATGGCGGGCGGTACAGATGGAGAGCAGAAAAATAGGGGATGAAAAATAATTTTTTTCGATTAAAAATTATTATAGTTTTAAAATGTCATCGTCTAAACTCAATACAAACAATGAGAAAACAATTTCAAGGGGTTAAAAAAAAAAAAAAAGAACCTTGAAAACGACGAAATCAAGGTCGATAAAGGGTTCGAAAGATTAAAAAAAAAATTCAACCGTTGTTAATAATAATAATAATGATGTAGAATGTCGTTCGAGTAATACATGCATAACGTTTATAAAAGAAATATTTACCACTTACCCTTAAGGAATTTTTTTTTTTCCTCCCCTCCAATCCTTTTATCCGAATCATCCATCATCATTGTCGCAATCAAAA